CATGATTCAACAATGTAATATGGTCCATGGCGATTTACCCCGATTTAATGTTTTTGAAACGCAAGAGATCTGACTTTTTCGGGCTATGGGATGTTTAAATAACTATGTAATTTATAAATATACAGTGTATGTACGTTTTTTTTACATATATCATATATTGTTTATATATATATACACATATATATATATTGTGCACATATAACATATATATATATTTGCATATTATTTATATATATATATTGTATGTATGTATGTATGTAATGTAATGTAATGTAATGTAATGTAATGTAATGTAATGTATGTATGTAAGTAATGCAATGTAATGTAATGCAATGGAATGTAATGTAATGTAATGTATGTATGTATGGATGGATGTATGTATGTATGTGTGTGTACGTATGTATGCATGTATGCATGTATGTATGTATGTATGCATGTATGTATGTATGTATGTATGTATTTATATATATTATATTTTTAGATATATTATATATATTTATAAATTGTATCTATATATATATATATACATATTTCTATATTGTATATATATATGAATACATATACATATATATATATTGTATATATATATATATTATATTATATTGTATATATATTTATTGTATATATATATATATATATATCTATTGTAAATATATATATATATTGTATATATAGCCTCGTCCCAGGTCCTAGAACTGCGCAAACCCGAATTAGGTTGGTAAAACTTGTCAATCCGCGACGAAATTTCGTCGCGGAATTGACAAGTTTCATTAGGGTCATCATCATCATCATCATCACATCATCATCATCATCATCATCCTCAGCATTAGTATCATCATCATCTGCAAGTTCACATGAACGTTAACATCCCACCCCATCCCCCCCACCCCACCCCGCGTGTGCGTAGCATCAACTGCTTCTGCAAGTTCACATGAACGTTAACATCCCACCCCATCCCCCCACCCCATCGTATGTAGTTCCAGGACCTGTGACGAGCCTAAATATACATATATAGTATATACATATATTGTATGTATATATATATATATACATTATATATATATATATATACATTATATATATTGTATATATATATATATATTGTATATATTTATTTTATATTGTATGTATCTAATACTAAACGGAATTTGGGGCATTCATTGTGTTGGACAACCCCATGCGAGGAAATTGCGGGGTTTACAACACATTTACTGCATTTCGGATTCCTGGAAGGTTGACCTTCAGAGAAGACCAGACATAGATCAACTGCCGAATTTGACACCTTTTTAGGACGCCAGGCTTTCTGTGATACAAAAAACAACGGTTCTGTCCCCACCAATTTGGTGGCTATGGAAGATAGTTCAGATGAATGGCCCAAAGACTGGCCCAAAGCATTGTTTCTGCGTGTCTATGCCAGGACTCAACTGTGGGACTGTGGGTTGACAACTACTGCAAAAACCTTATCATGCCTCAATGGTGATGCAGTAAACACGTATCTACGTCTAGTTTCAAGTTTCATCAGCAGAAACGTGGTTCCTCAAAAAAAACGCAAAATCAAGTGAGACCAGCATCCACCGGACCAACACACTAAGATCTCTTCCATCGGGTGGCGGAGATCTCCCAACCCCTGCCAGAAAGCCAGGTCTCTTATGAGAAGACGCGTTGCGAGGTGTTTCTCCCTTCAGATGCAGTGCCTGGAAAGTGGCTGGTCGAATCAAGAGACGGCATGGGGAGGCGTGAACATAAAGAACGGGATGGTATGGTAATTATCCAACATATACTGTACGGATATGTATGGATATAGACGATATTTTCTATGGATATTATACATTTTATACAACATCTATGGTAATTAATCACATCCATACAACATTATATGGGCAACATATTCAACCCAAACTGGTTGTATTTTTGTATAGGCAGTAAAAGCACCGTTAGAGGTGTAGTATGGGTTCGTGATATTTTTTTGCCCTCATGTTCAGTTGTCTCATGGCGTGTAACTCCTTTCGAACCAGTTGGTGAGGATTCTTCAACAACAAGACATGGGGAGCATAGGCTACGTCTCGCCAAAAAGTCTTGACAACCAACAATCCTAAATGAAACTACTTATTTGTGGATTCATTCGCAGCACATTAAAAAAACAAAACAAGGGTGGTGAAGCACCAGCGACAAGGATGGTTGAAATTGCACACCAGTAGTTGTATGATGTTGTATGTTTATTTATTATGCCAAGAGTTTATTATATATATACCATATTACATATATATTATAAGTGATATATGATATGTTTTATATTTCATATTATATATAATATGTGTTTTTTTATTATTATTTAATTAAGCTGTTATTTAAATATATATGTAGATGTTTTTGAAATTTCATACATCATTTTACTCCATATACATTTACATACATATACATATATATATAGTATACTATATATTAGTTATTGTAATAAGTATTTTTTTAATATATAGAGTATATACTATATTCTGGTGTATTTGTAAACCACATGTTGAATAATGATTAATAGCTTTTTTAATATTTGATATATATATATCTATTTAATTTCATTTTTTAGGTGTGTTTTATTATGTAATTGTAATATTATACATTATTTTCTTTTTATACTTATTTAAATATTGTATGTTATGGAAGATGTTTATATATTACATTATTTATTTATTATTGTGCTAAAATGTACTATACTATATTTTTATATTATGTTATATTGTGTTATATAATCTTACCTTATGTTACAATGTTTTCCTATGCTGAAATTTTGTTGTATTATGTTTTAGTTGTGTGTTTTAATTTGTTCTATTATATTATTTGATTTTATACGTTTTGTTTCTAGGTTATATGACTATATCATATAAATTATATGTTTTTGTTCATATTATTGGTTATTGCGTTATTTTCTATACTTGTCTTTGTGTTGTATTTTGATGATATATATATATATTATATTATAATTCATGTTGTATCTATATTTAAGTCTAGTTTATATATATATATACAAGTTCTATCCGTGGTCTGTGGCCATTGAGATACCATTGTTGTTCCGAGGCCTTGTAGTGCCACGGTCTGTGGTTGGGCGCCCCAGTTTCAACAAGAGAATCTGCCACAAGGGTCCATGGCAACATGATCCCTATGGCATGGCTATATGGTTTGAAAACTCAAAACCTCTGGTAACAGCTCCATATGGAAAAGAAGTTTACCCATCATGAAAGCACATCATTTCTTGGTCAAACAACCGTTTTTCCCGCATTTTTTTTAATGTTTACCTCACAGTAAACCCCGCGCGGAACTCATATGTTGATGTTCATCATGTTTGGTATGAACCAACGAATCTTAACCCAGACTTATGTTTCAAATCTTGAGTGAACAGCTCAAACGAAAAGCAAAGTAATATGCAAGGTGTTAGGGTGTCGGGTTGTTGAGGGCCACCTTTGGGGGAGGTTTGACACCGTGGACATGGGCTGCACAAATCGTGTACTTCTCCTTGGATTTTCCGAGAAAAGATGACACGTTCTTTCGGTGATCCCAGGTGTATCACCGCATGTAGAGCTATACCTTTTTTTCATGGTTTACTCAATCGCATGCGCTTACATATCTCCGTAGGATTGAGTAGGTTCCACGTTCAACACAGGATTAAGGGATTGTTTTTTTTAACCCATCATTGCTCATCATTCTTAAATTACAAACTTTGAACCATGCAGTATTGATTATATATATACATAACACCATCTCATCTCTGCTTATAAATAACCAACAAGGTTCAACCAGTATTCTCACAGTGAACCATCATGAACCCTTGCATGCTCAATGAAAAACAGATGGTCATTGCAACTGGAACCTTGTTCATGGTACCTAAGCTGTTAATAGTAAATATAAATCAATACATATTATGTATATATATATATCTACATTATTGTATCATATCAACCATTACTTGCCATGATCAACCACTCAATCCATCATTACCGTCATATTTAGGTGCTGCATGTATAGCCCCAGCACACGGATGTCCCGCTGAAAATCCTGTAGGTTACGCAGCAGCTGCCGCAGATGTGTTTGCCTGTGGCATTTGCGCGTTCCTGTTGATCGTGGGAAAGGCGTTCTTGGGTCATGGCTTTGGTGAACCTGGAAATTCCAATTGAGTTTTCCATGGGGATATTTCAGATATTTCATGGATTTTCACGGGAAAACCATGGAAAACCAACCATGACCATGATTTAATGAGGATGTGTTGAATGACTATAATGTGCTTTTCTCCCCTATGTTGGAGGATTGGCATCCGTTGCCGGAAGGAACCAAGGGGAGATTGTACCACGGTCAACCTCCCAACCTATATGCATAGACACTGAAGGATTAATTTTGGGAAAACTGAAGGGAGTTTGGAAAGACAAAGCAATGGTTCAAAATGGGGAACATAGTTAAGCACGACTTTTGATCAAGATAGACCTAAGAGAAATTTGTGGATTGACCAGCAAACCATCTGAAAACGAGCAACAGTGGACAGTTTGCGTATCTTCCTTAGGAAAGCTGTCAAAGTGTCTGTTGGATTCCTGAAATTGAGATGTTTCCGGATAAGAAAGGACCATGCTAAAGGCCCAAAAACATGATGCATTATTGAGCAGCACCCAAACATATCTTTTTGCTACATACGTGACATATGCGGAAGATGTTCTGCGACCTGCGTGAAGCTTGTCAAGGAGACAGGTCTAGTTACTATCCGGCCAATGGTGTCAAGTAGTCATGTTCTTCTTCCGTCCCCAGCTATTGAAGGATTATCCCAAATATCCTAAATGATCTCTATGGGGGGCTTGGGGTGGGCAGCCCAACAACACAGTTTTAAGATGTTTTAATGGCCAGAACTTGGCCAAAGTTGAGGAACAGATGTCAAAGTGCCGTTGATTCGCCAAGGTTGCAGCTTTGGGCCCTAGAAAGTACTGAGATTCCAGGTGAGCCAGATCCGAGTTGGGCCGACCATCGCCATGTTACCGCTGGCACTGCTTGGCCTGAGCTTCATGGCCTGGGCGGCCGAGCCGGACGAATGGCACGGGGAACGGGAGGTGATCCAGTTGGCGGCAGCCAGTCGAAGCTGGGTGGTGATTTTAGCATCTTTTCTGGGAACAGACCCGTTAAAATATGGTGAACACATGGGACAGTATAGCTATATTAGGATTGTCCACCTTTTTTGAATGGTTGGCTAGGAAATACCCATGTCTAGTGGGAAACATATAGAACGTTTCGGAAAGAAACGGGAAACCACTTATAAATTTAATCTTTTTCTGGGAAATGTGTCTTTATTTAAATTGATGATTTTGCAACCAACCGTGTTTGATCCCTAGAGGGTGTCGAGTCAAACTAGGAGACTAAACAGTGGGAAGTTTTAGGTCATGGTTCAATGTGCCCAGATCAGAAATGTCAACATGCTTTCATGCGAAGGTCACATGATGTATGAACTGGGGAGTGAAACTGCATTTTTCGTGAATGCTAAGTTGTTTCTGTTGTTCCGAATGTCCGACAGATGTGTGAAAGTATTCCATACTTCAATGGATTGGTTGAAGGGACTTCCTGAATTGGAGACTTCCCTTCAGTTCTGGGAAAAGTGATCCTCAAGCAGTTCTTAAAATCTTGTTTGTTGTAAAAGCCCCTGTGTGTCTTTAACAAGTCAAAAAATGTCAAGGTGCTTCAAAACATGGAATACAGCCCAAGAGTTGGTTAAGAATCCGAAAGTTTGAGGCCCAGGGCCCCTCAATTTCTTATTTGTAATGTAAATACAGGAAATTTCCACCATAAAAGGTCGAGGGCCCCTCAGATTCTTAGAGCATTCTTATTTGTGTATTATATTATGTATATTTTATATATATAAGTAGTAGTGTTATATAGATACTCCCATGCCTGCGGAAGAGAAGAAGAAAGACGCAAAAGCAAAGTGGAGGCGGGTGAAGGTTTGTTTGCCAGCACTAGAGGGAGCAAAAACACTTGCACGAACAGGCCCTAAAGAGCCACTGAGGGTCTTCGTACGGGTTGCAAAACATGTCAGTAAGGTTGGACGGTGGTGGCCTGCTTCAACCCTTCAGGAGCGCGCAGAACAAATTGGGTCGCGCTCCCCGCGCGCAAGCACAACCAACCAAACCCCAGCCCCGGGCAGCCAGCCCAGAGAGAATAAGAAGGCAAAATACTTAGGAGGAAAGGGCTCTGTGGCTCAGTGGTGAGCGCGTTGGCCTTCAGGCTTAAAGGTTGTCAGTTTGGCGCCCTGCGGCGTAGAATATGATTTCAAAATTATAGGCTGTCTTGCGCAACGTGCTTCTCTTGGTCTTTCGCAATCACACCACGCGGGTTTCGCAAACACACACGCACACATACAGACAGGCTTGAAAACCTTATTGTGACAGAATTTGCCGTTCCCGCTACCTACAAAACTTCACGTATAAATAGTAATTTAAGAATTTGGCAATCCTAAGGGCCCTTCAAGCTCTTTACATGAATCTTTCGACCTATGATTGTTTCATCTCCAGAAACCAACTAGTTCCAGATTCCGGGCCTTGGGGGCCCCTTGTTGTGGGCCAAGGCCAACTGGACGACACGCCCATCGCAAGTGCAGTTTGGGATAGCTCGGGTCGGACTGCGTGGATTCTTCAGATGGATTGCGGAGACGATCCGGTTGAACCCCAGGTGAGGATTGCTACATGAAAAGTGGAATGGTGATACCGTATCATTGGGTAAAAATAAAATAATACATATATATATATGTATAGATACCACTAGTACCGCACAAGGTGGTGGCGGAAGTTTCAAAAATTGGAAACCTATAGGAGAGGTTGGTTGCTGTGACTCACCGATGGCAGAGCGATGGACCGAAAGGTGGTTGGATTTGTGTTTTTGGAGTGGCTGCAATGCTTGCAGCGGTCACCTCACCACAACTGCTGGATGTAGTGTGGTGTAGTGCAGTTGCATTTGTTTTTTGTATTTGTAGTGTGGTATAGTGGAGTTGTAGTTGTAATGTAGTTGTAATGTAGTGTAACTGGTGTAGTGTAGTTGCAGATGCTGTTGCAGTTGTAGTTGTGGTGTGGTGTAATTAGTGTATTGTAGTGTAGTGTTGTGTTCTGTTGTGTTGTGCACTGTCGTGTAGTATCGTATAGTGTAGCCCAGTGTAGTGTAGTGTAGTCTATTGTAGTGTAGTGTAGTGCAGTGCAATGTAGTGGTAGTTGTAGTTCTAGTTGTAGTGTAATGTATGTTAATTCGTGTCGTGTAGCGTTGTGCAATGTAGTGTAGCTGTATTTGTAGTTGTAGTGTGCTGCAGTGTAATTAGTGTGGTGTAGTGTAGAGTAATGTAGTGTAGTTGTACATGTAGTTGTAGCTGTGGTATTAGTGGTGGTAGTGGTAGTGGTAGTGGTAGTGGTAGTGGTAGTGGTAGTAGTAGTAGTAGCATCAGATGTAGTGTAGTGTAGTTTAGTTTAGTTGCAGCGTAAGTAGATGTAATTAGTGTAGTGTAGCGCAATGTAATTAATGCAGTGCAATGTAGCGTCGTGTATTTGCATTTGTTTTTCTAAATGTATAGTAATAGTTTGGTGTATTGGTAGTGGAAGTGGTAGTTATAGTTGTCCATCTATCTATCTGTCTGTCTGTCGGTCTGTCTGACTGACTGACTGTCTGTCTGTCTGTCTGTCTGTCTGTCGGTCTCTCTGTCTCTCTGTCTCTGTGTCTGTCTGTCTCGGTGTCTGTCTCTGTGTCTGTCTGTCTCTGTCTCTGTCTGTCTCTGTGCCTGTCTGTCTCTGTGCCTGTCTGTCTCTGTCTTTGTCTCTGTCTCTGTCTGTCTCTGTCTGTCTGTCCGTTTGTTCGTCCATCCGTCCGTCTGTCCGTCTGTCTGTCTGTGTGTCTCTCTGCAAGCAACGAACCTATTCTGCCTGTTTTGACCTTGGCAACATCAAAAACGCAGCAATTCCGCGAGATTTCCACAATTTCCGAAGTTGGCAACATCAAAAACGAAGCCATTCTGCGAGACTTCCTTCAAATATCGAAAGTTGAGTGCAGAGCTGACGGCCTCGTCCCAACGCATTCTGCGATTTTGCCACGAAAAAGGCATGCCAAGTCATACGAAGTGCTGCACCTGTCACGCAAAATCATCTCAGCAAACCTGAAGATCTGATGCTCCAAAATGCAACCCCTCTCAGGATATCAGCGCCCTGACCTCCGAACATCTCTGATGAATATGTCTCTTGTATTGTGCCTGCCACGTGAATTTCATCTTTCCAGATCCTCTGCAAATGTCCCACGCTTGCCATCGTTTTAGGAAATGCTACAAAACCTGCACGTTCTGCCCATTTGTGAGAACATGCAGAATCCCTTGCGCCTGCCACGCAAAACGAAATCTGAACGCCCAAAAATGCTCCGAACCCGTCAATTTGTAACACTTTTGATTGCGAAACGTGCTTCGCGCCACAATGGCGTGCACTTTTTTCGACATCAACTTCCAAAAGTGGTCCGAGGCTGGTGTGTTTTGTACATTTGGGCTTCCAAATGTGCTTCGCGCCGCAACGGCGTGCACTTTTTCGACATCTCAACTTCCAAAAGTGCTCCGAACGTGAGGTGTTTTTAGCTTTTTCACTTGCAAACGTGCTTCGCGCCACAATGGCGTGCACTTTTTCGACATCTCAACTTCCAAGAGTGGTCCGAACATCGTGTGCTTTGTACATGATGACTTCCAAATGTGCTTTGCGCCACAACGCCGTGCAACTTGTCATCTCTCATCTGAACCACATGGCTCCGCACCCGCCGCACCCGCCGCTTTAACGAGCCTACTTTTCGACCCTCCGGAGCCACAGATCATTGGAAAAACACAGTGTTTCTCGACTTTGCGACCTTTTCGCGCACTTGCATCTTCTTTTCTCCGACTCTTTTTTCTTCTCTGATCTTCTCTCTTCTGCTCTTCTCTTGCCTGACTCTTCCCACTCCTGCTTTTCCATATGTCCATATTGTCGGAAGTTTGACTGCTAAACTTCCTTCGTTCATGGGATAACTATATATATATATATGTGTGTTTATAAGTTGGGAATTAAGTGAGATTTCATCAGATTTAGTGAGATCTAAGTTGGCAATAATTGATGATCCCATAACAATCCCATAACATCCCAGAACAATCCCATACACTTTCATATGATTATGGTCATATGATACAAGGTGGTGCCCCAGGTCGGAATCGCAGAGTTGGCGAACAGAACACCCAGAACTGTTAATTGGGTTTCTGGTAAATATATCGAACTACTTACTATGCTTTAAAAACTAGCTTGTAACTGGGAGGAACCACCTTTAATATGGGATATGAATGATGAATGTGAATGGGGATTTCATTAGATGCCAATGACGACTCCATATACATAAAGAAAATAATAATTGTGGGTATAATTGGACATATATGGGATATCCATGGTATATCAATGGGGGCACTAGGGAGATTAATGGGATACCCATCTGGATAAATTGTAGCATCACTTCTTGATGGAACACAAAATCATTTTTTGAAACTCATCTCCTCAAAGATATGGGAAACCCAACAAAAGCATGGGTATCGAAAACATCATGTCCCCTATTGCAGCGTTTTGGTTTTGTACCCTTTGGCAATTTAACATAGCTATGGAAAATCACCATTGACCAATAGGTAAATCAACTATAAAGGTGCCATTTTAAATAGCAAACCGTTAAATTACCAGAGGGTATCCTCTACTTTCATAGCCAGGTGCTGAAACTGGATGTTGGCAACCACCAACACACCCTGAGCTATGTGGCGGTTTGGAGTCCGTCGTTGCCCATGATTTGGCACTGTGCCCGTAACCGGTTTCCTGCGATCTTTGATGATGCCACGAAGAATCGCAGGATTTGCTTAAGGTGATTTGAACAGTGGCCATAAGAGTCATAACCCTGATTGGTGATTACATGGAGATTATATTATCCAATGCTATCCTCTATTATTCAATATCTGGGGATTATTTTCACAGTTCATGAGTGGAATCCTTATCAACCAACCATTTGTTGTTGTGTGTGTGTCTGGAAGTGGGTGATTAGCTTCCAGTTCTACGTTTTCCAAGTGTGAAATAATGTTAATCCATGGGGGTTGGGGATGCAATATTTTCAGACAAACATTTTTCCCATTTAAATTTCCATCATTGGCGCATTTTTTGGGGACAATGATAATACTATATAGTCTATAGTTGCTTTTGTAGGTAGAATATATTGTAATTAGTTTTGACCTTCTTGAACAATCCAAGGAATGTGGTCTTCTTTGGCGGAATGAAAGAAAGAGAGTTGCGTGGTTGCTTGACTAGTTGGCGAGGTGGATGGGGAATCCGTGTGGGTCAAAAATGCAATCAAAAAGTGTATGTTTGCTGCAGATTTCAATTATTTGCGAAATATTCATATTTTACATTCCCACAAACAAACCCAGGTATGGCATACAAATTTTGCAACTGGAAATCCTACTTTCCATGGTTCCCATTTAGTCATCTACAAATCCAGAATTTTCCGGCCATGTAGATGCATTGGAGGGTGCATAGGGTACATATCCAGGTTGGCCCCCACTTTAGCCCGGCAAAGGTCACCCTGCAACAGTTGAGGCCGTAAAGGGGGGCAGTCAAAACCACCATCAACACCACAAAAAAAAATGACCATGAAACTATAACGGGCTATTAACCATCCACTCCGGAACAAAAATGATTAATTAGGGTCTTGCTATACGGGGCTAGTAAGTCCAACCCCGCAAAAAATGACAGTTGAAACCTTATTATTGACCACCCTTCATTAACCCCTCAAAAAGAGAGAGAAAGAGATAGATAGATATAGATAGATATATATATATATATATAATATTATAATTAAGGTCTTACTATATATGGCTATTAACCACCATCAACCCCTTGAAAAATTCATGTTTCCTATAATGGGGTCTCCAAATCATCCGAAACTAGACCATTGTAGATAGTCTGAAAAGTATTGAAACCCATGGTTTTTGGGATCCACCATTTGAAGAAACTCCCAAATGGATGTGTCTTAAAATGACCTATATCTCCCAAATAGCCATTGAATAGGGAAACCTATAAGCCCATGGGATTTTGTGGTTCCCATTTAAGGTTCCCTATTGACCTAAGCGGGGCTGGGGTCGTACCATGCTTTCGATGCACCGCTGTAGACTCACCGAATACGCGTCGCCGCTACAGCACCTACCGCAGCGTCAACTTTAGCAGCGAGGTGGACGGCTGGGACAACGCCATGTGCTGATTAAGCCCGATTTCATTGTGATATAATGCTTTAACGGCTAACGGTGATTTAAGGGTGTTTTAGTTGGATTTAATGGGTTTCAATGGGATTTGTTGGTGACTTCATGGGAATTAGTGTTATTCATTTGTGTTTTAATGGGATTTATATGCTAGTGATTTCATGGGGCGCAATGTGTCTTTTTCCCGAGAGCGCCTGCGAAGGGTTCTTCGTAAAAAAGCAGCCGTTATACTAGATCTTCACACCTTCACACCTGCAGATCTAGATCTTCACACCTTCACACCTGCAGATCTAGATCTTCACACCTTCACACTTCACACCTGTAGATCTAGATCTTCACACCTTCACACCTGCAGATCTAGATCTTCACACTCTCACATCTGCCGATCTACATCTTCACACCTTCACATCTGCTGATCTACATCTTCACACCTTCACACCTGCAGATCTAGATCTTCAGCAGATCTTCTTCACTACCTGCAGATCTAGATCTTCACACCCTCACACCTGCAGATCTAGATCTTCACACCTTCACACCTGCAGATCTAGATCTTCACACCCTCACATCTGCAGATCTACATCTTCACACCTTCACACCTGCAGATCTAGATCTTCACACCCTCACATCTGCAGATCTAGATCTTCACACCCTCACATCTGCAGATCTACATCTTCACACCCTCACATCTGCTGATCTACATCTTCACACCCTCACACCTGCAGATCTACATCTTCACACCTTCACACCTGCAGATCTAGATCTTCACACCCTCACACCTGCAGATCTAGATCTTCACACCTGCAGATCTCCTCTCGCTCTTCTTCTATTCTCTCTTAAGGCGGGGGCGGTGCCGCCGGAGCGCCACGAAACGCAACCCTTTCGCACGAAATGGACGTTGGACGTCCAAAACCTAGGTAAAATTGCGATTTTGAAGCGTCCGCGCAACCCTTTCGCACGAAATGGACGTTGGACGTCAAAAACTGAGGAAAAATTGCGACTTTGAGGTGTCCCGCGCAACCCTTACGCACGAAATGGACGTTGGACGTCAAAAACTGAGGAAAAATTGCGACTTTGAGGTCGCGCGCAACCCTTTCGCACGAAATGGACGTTGGACGTCAAAAACTGAGGAAAAATTGCGACTTTGAGGTGTCAATCGCAACCCTTACGCACGAAATGGACGTTGGACGTCAAAAACTGAGGAAAAATTGCGACTTTGAGTCGTCAATCGCAACCCTTTCGCACGAAATGGACGTTGGACGTCAAAGACTGCCCTGGGCATCGGATATTGATTCTAATCAATATACCTAAAAAAATATTGATATTGTGTTTTTTTCAATTTGTTTTCTTTGATTTCCAGAGGCTCAAAATCAACAAATAAAACAATACAACCTCCAACAAAAATCAATACAAAAAGTGAGGAAACTGATAGTCCAAATCAATACAAAGTGGCAAGCCAACTCAGCTCATTTTCCATGTCAACTGCCAATCTTTGTTCTTAAATGCTTCCCATTTTGTCAATAGGAGCAGATGATGTGACCCAGCTCTTTTGTCAAAAGCTGGCACAAAACATGCACTAATTATAGCTTCCAATTTGGGAAGCCAAGACCTAGCAACCCTGACCCTTTTGTCAAGAGTCTGCATCTTCCTCCAGCACACAAGCAAACCCAGGCCTTGTGAGTTGCAAGTGCAAAAGGATCCTGTATTTGTCCATCAGCTTCACAGATAGTCTGGTTGATTTCACACCAAAGCTGCATGAGTGGCCCAACTGAGAGATCTGGCCAACAAAATGCTCAGATCTAAAATTGTGGTGAATTCGAAAATTCATATATTTGGTGTTCTCAAACAGGTGGATGGATGTGTGAAACTTGTGGGTTATGTTGAACATCTTTCTACCCACATCCTCTGCCCAATCATGCAGGTCTGAGTATAGGGAGTAAAACCTTTTGGCAAGGTCTTGGCCCTTGGCATACTCAGCCCTGGAAAGAAACAAATCCACACTGTCAAAGTGCTGAATCAAGCTGTTCAAACAGGAGAGGCAGCCAAGCATGGTCGAATGGATAGGGTTCTCTTCCTCATCCAAAACCTCTTTCATCACAATCTCCAAGCAAGGAAGTAGGTGTTTGCATTCAGATGCTTTGCTTTCCAAGCAGGGATAGGATTTGTGAGGCCTTTGTGTGTCCACAACCATGGACAACCTGAGGTTTGTCATTTTGGTCACACCCACTGGGTAAAGCTCCTTGATTCTGCTGAATAATGCTTGCAGCCTGGTGTTTGGTGGCACTTGCTGCCTGTGAGGCCAATCGAAATAGCAAACATATGCCAGCAAAGAGCCAGCAAGGTGGGAAGCTATACCTCTGCTGTACAAGATATGAAGGGCATCTCCTCTCACTAGTGCTGTTGAAACCCCTGGAATACTAAACAAAGGGTGGCTGCTCCTTTTGTCAAGGGCAGCTTGGGCAGGAGAAACCCTCTTCCAATCCCTTTCATCTTCTTTCAAGAGCTTGACAGATTTTCCTGCTGGGCAAGGTGTTTTTTTGTAAACTGGTTTCTGGGCATCACATTCATGGCATGGGTATTGAGAATTCCAATGCCCCATTTGCAAGACATTGCTGTAAAACTCTTGGTCTCCTTGTATGCTCCACAGCACCCCCCTGTGATGCCCTTTTGTCAAGGGCTGCCCAGCCAGTTCAGCCAGCAGCCCTTTTGTCAAGGGCTTTCCCCAGGGGTCCAGATCTGGATGCATGCCTTTTGTCAAAGCAGCAAAGCTCCAGGAGATCCACTTGCCCAGTGGCTTCCATGTCTCTTTGAGAGTGCAGGACTTGGGCACAGCTGTCAAAAGGATATGGGATGACAAGCTTGTGTTTTTGCTCAGCAGGCTTCCAAATGACCATGTCATCAAGCTGTCCCTTGTCTGGAATTCACAGCCATCCCCATGCACAAACAGTGGTACTGTCTTCTCTGGTTTGTCCACCTTACCTTTTGTCAAAGTAATGGGACTCACCAGCCTTGGGTCTTTGCATTTTTCCACTCCACCCCAAAAGTTTTTGCAATCTGTGATAGCAAACATTGCTTCAAAGTTGTCTGGGTACTCATGGCTGAGGTTGGAGAAAACCAAGTGAGGCAGCATCAATGCCACCTCCTCAGTGCCTTCCCTTTGGGTCTTGGGATCTTTCACAGGCACTTTGACCATGTGGGGCTCTGCTATATGGATCTTTTTGCACCAAGCTGCAACCATATCTCTGTGTGTGGAAGGTCGGTTTTGGCCAAAATTGCCACACTTGGCACCAGCCACAATTTGTGGATGCTCACACCCACTGAGCATTGAGAGGTGGCATATTTCAGCCACCTGGGAGGCAGACAAATGCCCCTGGCTCCAAAGTTCTATAAGCCTTGTGCACAAAGGATTGTCAATTTCTTCTTGGGAGTCTTCCTGTGGTTTATCCCCCATTGCCTTCTCCAATTTCCATCCTCATCTTTTTGGTGGTTTTCTGCCTTCCATGGCTTCATTCAACAACCCCCTTTTGTCAAGGAGGTAGAAGAAACCCTGCCAGCTCCTTTTGCCAAAGAGCTGGCACAAAACTTGGCCCTTTGGCCAAAGGGAATCTTGAGCCAGAAGCAAGCACAAGCACCAAGCTGCACATGCAGCTGCCTGTCAAAACCTAGCTGGGCCATGGGGCTGCCATGTTTACTCTAACAGGTTTCCCCCAAATAAGTTAAATTAAAACAGTGTTAGACATGTGTGAACATCATACTGAAAATTGTGGTCACCCAAAAAAAACATTCCACCCCTGTGGTAGCTGAGCCCAACCTTTTTCACTGCTTTCAAAGAAGTCTTGTGTAAGCCAAGCCCCTTTTGTCAAGGAACCTGGTGCAAAAACATCTGCTGGCAACATGCCTTGCAGAACAAAAGTTTCTATTGGCACTTGCCCCTTTTGTCAAAGGACTTAGTGCACATTGCTATGCCTAAGGTGCACAATGCAAAACTTCAGCCAGCAGCTCCAAAATCGTACCTTTTGTCAAAGTACCAAAACCCTTCTGTCAAAGGTTTGCAAGATCTTTTGTCAAGAACTTACTGTTTGGAAGCTTTGGACCCAGCCTTGTTTGCCAACTGTGTAAGTTCCTTGGCCTCCTCTTTCACTTCTTTCAGCAAAGTGCCAGTCTCAACCAGAAGCTTCTTGCCCTTGTCCAAGTACTTGTCCTTCTTGGCCAGCAACTGCTTGAGCTCCTCCTTTTTGGTGGCCAACTTGCTCAGCAAAGCTTCTGTCTCCTTTCTTGCAGCCTTGGTCAGCCTCTTGGCCTTTTCAGCTCCATCCAGAGCTGCCTCACAATCAGCCTGGACAGAGCTGCACTGGTCTCTTGCCCTCTTGGTTTTTGAGAGGAGCTCTTTCCACTGCTTCTCTTCAGTGGGTTCCTCATCATCTTCTTCTTGATAGTCCTCATCCTCTTTGTCCTTCAAAGCAAGAAGGTTTCCACTCCCACTCCCTTTGCCTTTTGTCAAGGCACCTGTGCTACCTTTGCCACCTTTCTTGCCTTTGCCTTTTGTCAAGGACTGGCCTTTTCCTTTGCCCCAGTTTTCAATTTGGAGCATGTGGCTGCTGCTGTCCATGTGCCACAAGCCATCCCATTCAGTCTCATCTTCCTCATTGGGCTGGTATTCTTGCCCCCTTGACCATTGCCTTTTCTTCTGGACATTGGTGTTCTTTGTGATGTTGCCTTTGTCAGAGTAGTTGAACACATTGTGTGTCCAAGGGTCCTCTCTCCACTTGATCCTTCCACTTTCCACATGCTGCCAAAACTCAGACTCCCCAAACCTCTCAACCATTTGGAGCTCTGACTCCCAGACTTCCTTTTTGTCAAAGGAAGTTGCCTGGCTCAGGCTTTCTTTGGCCTGCATGAACTTGGGGGCTGATGACTTGATCAGGTGCATTGCAGCTGCCTGACCTTTCTCATTCTTTGAGAGTTTTTCAAACTCAGCTTTCTCCTTCTTGCTTTGTCCTTTCAA